AATTTTCGCCCGAAATTCCGAAATTCCATTGAAAATTCAAACACTCTTCCCCATCCTATCCGGCGAAAATTTGCGGTCGGATCCTCCTCGCCTCTTTCAATATTCACCGAATCAAAGTAATTCGATCGTTTTTAATAAACATGCAAATCGACAGGACGCAGAAGTCGTCGGAACTCGAAAGATTAAAAACGTGATCCTCTTTCTCTGTCTACGGCCATCCTCCCTCCCTCCCACCCGGACGCATTGATCACCGAGGCAGAGAGCGCGAGAAGACGAGGAGACAGAAATTTTTCAATAAAAATGCAAATGCTCGTAATTAGAAGTTTGACTCGAGAGGTAAGACACGTATCTTAGTATCTATCATCTTACGGAGCTCGTCACACTCGTCCTCTTTTTTTCTTACCTCTCCTGGAGGAAAAATTATAATATTTTCTCTCTCTGTGTCTCTTTCTCTCTCTCTCTCTCTCTCTCTCTTCTTCCTTCAAGTTCGAAATTTTTCACATTGGTCGAACGAATCCTTCGAGATTTCGAGACGTGGCTCGATAATATAGGATCCGGGTCTTTCTTGCGGAACAGGCAATGAATAAAGTATCGACTTGAGCAGACAGGTCGCGGATAGTATTTATAGCGTGTACAGGGTGATCCATTTGACTTTCGTGCCTTTGAAACAGAGATATTTGAAAAGGATCTCAAATTTGGATTTGGTGATGTATCTTTACGATATTTTATCACTATTGCGTTATTACAACAGTTAATGTTTTAATTTTGATAATTTAGATTGGAATATATATATATATATATCTTTCGATGGATGATTTTGATAAAAGAAAAAAGAAAAAAAAAAGAAATTTAGAAAATATTTTGAAGAAGAAAATTATGCTTATTGACAAAAATTAAGAGAATTAATCGTTTACGAATTTATTATAATTTTGTATATTTCATTTATTTTCCATCAGTCCACGTATCGATAAATTCTTTTTTCTGGTGCTTGCATAAAGATCGAGCGGTGATAAAAGAATATAGAAAGGAAATTTGCCGACAATTTGTTTCTTAACTTTCAGATAAATGTGGATAAAGAAAACATTTGAACGTTATATCGATTGATATATATATATATAGTGGCTTCTTAACGGAGCCACCCAGTATACGCAGACTTGTGTGTATATTTAAGGACACATTCTCGAAGAAGCACGCGGATAAAAGTATTTTTCTGGCTGGCTACTTCTCGATGTCGCAGGGGAACGTAGAAAAGCACGTTGCTCTCTGTCGAGAGGAGGATAAAGACTTGATCGAACAGCTTTTATACCATTTGAACGATTATGGTTTTCCAGGATATCGATGATTCTCGACGATCCTATACGATTCTTTTTAATATTTATCTAATATCGGAATATCATCTTTCGAACTTTAATCTGATTTTTCTTTTTTTCTCTCTCTCTCTTTGTTCATCGAGGCATCAGATTAAATTGTAAATTTAACGATCGAATAATCACGTTTAATAAAAAAAAAAAAAAAAAAAAAAAA